AGTTTTCATATTTTTGTATGCTGTTAAATTGTGGAATTTTTTTTAAAAAAATGATTGAATTATGTTGTTCCGGTTAAGGTTTCTATACCTTTAGTTAATCTGCATACAATAGTTTTTAGAATTATCAACAGTTTAAAATTTATTTAAGTGGGGTAAGCCTAATTTTTTACCATAGCAGCCATATTTGTTTACATTTGAAACTTAGAAGAATAGTGAATTAAGTCAGTTTCTGCACCTTCAGTGTCTTTTTGCCGAGTGAGGCCAAAAGTAAACTTTCAGTTTTGTGCACCGAAAAATCTGCCTTGTTGGCCGCTGGCCGAATTTCTTGTTTTTGCGTAGAAACTCTAAAATTTAACTGCAAATCTTTTTTAATTGTTTTAACTGTATTTAGTGTTTTATATTTTTTGTATATTTTTCAATTTTTTAATAAAGGTATTTTGAGTTTTTATGTATTTTTTCCTTGTCGCAAAGTGAGAACTGAATTAATTGAATGAGAAAGGTATCTGTAATGAAATTCGAAGAAATAAGTTTAAATGAAATGCAAGAAAAAATGCGTATAATTTGATATTTCGTACAAGGAAGTCATGTGGTGTACATATCAGATTTTTTTGGTGGTTGTAGAGTATGTGTGTATATTGCTTTAGATGTACTTGGATTGCAGTTTATTTCTGGTTGAGTTTTACATCACCTTAAGTCGCCTGCGGTAATTATGTGGGAAAAGAAAAGGATTACTATTATCTGGAGCTCTAGATGCATTATTCATTTGGCGTCTCCAGCAATCACTTTTCTCAGTTTTCCCGATTTGAAAACACGATTATTAGAAATTGCAAATTGATTTTTAAGCCTCGGTAAAAAGAAGGTCATTAGGGTCAGATTACGATATTTAGAGAGCGTAGGCACTTGAAAGATTTTGGTGACTCCACACGTATATTTACGGTGCAACGGCCCCGTTTTCTGGATGCATTAGCCTCCTTTCAGGATGTGGCATAAACGTCATAGAAGCATATTCATAAGGCATAACATTCGGGAGTTTCTTTCACTATGTGTCTCCCGTTGCTATGGCAAGACAGGGTCTAAGCCATAGTCAATTAGAGAAGCTAAATTTTACAGTTTACAGTTTTCAATTTCGCTTCGATTGGTCGACTATTACCAAATCGACATTAGACTGAAAACTTCGAACTTTATACCAAAATCCCTTAACCACTTTTCGTGACATAACAAGGTCTGGTTATATAGCAACAAAGCTCGGTTTAAACCTGTTATGACATTTATACCACTGTCGGAACGGAGCCTTAAAATCCTGCTTATTTTACTTAACTGTTAATCCAGCTCTGCTTATGAGTGATAATCAAAGTTTTGAACTCCCAAGTTGAGTTTGCTGCATTAATTTAGAGGAAATAACATTGTAGTAGGTGTAGATTGGCCTACAAAGTTTGGGAAATAGGTAAAGACGGGATGGCTATTACTTATGTATGAACTTCAGCTCGATTTAAATTATCTTTGTGAAAAATAATTTTATTTTTATTCTTCATTAATATTTTTTTATGTGTTTTAATGATTATCTGCTTTTCCCCTTTGGCTTTGGAAGTAGTTGATGCATTTATGTATTTTAAGATTTTTTTTTTTTTTTTTTTTTTTTTTTGAAGCTGCTTTAGTACTTGACACACACATACACACACTTACACTGAAAAGACAGTTTATTACACACACTTTTCAATGCTGTATCACTCCACATTTTGCTTTTATAACTGCAACACTGTTGCACAACATTCCTGCACTTTTCATAGTAAATTGATAGCAGAGCATGATAGCAAGTCCAGAGAGTGTGAAGAGATCATTATAACCTTTCCCACAGATGCTCAAAGATTCATAAAGCCAGGTGAGTATTCCAGCCTGAAGCTGTTTGATGGGCCACTTCATTGCAATGTGGGACCGATGGTGTGATGAATTTTCCACTTGAAAGAATGCATCATTTTGGGAGAAGAAATTCATGAAAGGATGTAGATAAACAGATAGCAAATTACTGTAGCCTGACCTTGTTAGGTTTCTATCCAGCATGATGAGAGGATCCACTGAGAACCATGCAAACATGCCTAAAACAATTACACCACTGTTGTTGGGCTGCATAATGCCTGTCATGACAGATGCAGTGTTTTGCATAGTTTACACTACTGGTTTCAAATTCAGATTGCTTGCAAGACAAATGCACAGTGTAAAAACAATTGAAGAGTTGCATTTGTTTAAGCAAAATGACTTGTGAGAAGAATTTTGGATTGTCAGTGTGATACTTCTTATGAAGAGAATTTGCTCAAAGTGTTATTTGCAAAAGATTCTAACGGAAATCTATTCAACTACGTTTGCACTCTTACCAAACCTTATAAAATATGCTGGAACTTTTGAGTTTTGCTTCAATTTGGCTGGCCCACTGTATGTATTGTTGGGCAAAAAGGTATGGATTGTGATTTTTATTTGTGCCATTTATCATGGTGTGCCCTTTGAATTGAAAAAATCTGTATCAACAGATTCCTTTATAATGGCACTCGGAAGATTCGTAGCAAGAAGGGGTAGAGTAAGCATTATATATACGGACAGTGGTACCAACCTGGTAGGAAATGAATGATGCATTAAACAAACTTGATTGGGAGAAAACAAGGAAGTTTTCAACAATTCAGAAGATTAAATGGAAGTTTATCCTCCAACTTCCAACTGGTAGGGAAAGGTTAGTATAAATGGTACAAGAACTTTTAAGACAAATTTTGAATCCTAAAACGTTAAGTTACATTGTACTGGAAACTGTGCTATGTGACTGTGAAGCAACATTGAATTCACGACCACCAATTTATTTATGTGACGAGATGACAGAGTTTTAAAGCCATTGACACCATATCTTACACAAGCACAATCTTTGATATGAACAGAGAATATGTTGCAGTTTTAGGAAAGGTGTTTAGGTGGAAGGATGTTCAGGAATGTGAAATGAATAACAATGTAATTTAATATGTTCATTATAATGTAGATATTTTGTGGCAACATTTTTGTTTTATATACAGTCAAAAGTCGTTAATCCGGACTCGTCGGGACTTCGGCGATTCCGGATTATCGATTTTTCCGGATTATAGATCATCAGTTTAAATCTGGTAAAATGGCATGCAGAAATTATAAAATTAAAAATATGAAACCGTAATTTACGAAATTAAGGACAATTATGATCTAAAGGGTATCAAAATTTACAAAAAAAAAGCTTAATATTTATTTGTTTACTTTATTAAACATTTCTTTCAATGTAAGTTGTTTAAGTTGCTTCGTTTTTTATGTGATAATACATTCTCTTAATTCTATAAACAGACATAATTTCGTGTTCAGTTACAAAGTTCCGCTGTTCAAGTCCTATAATTGCTGTGTCAAGAATACCCGACTAATTTGTCAATCGAAACTTTTTGTTTTCAATAACCTCTATCACTTTCTTCGCTATCCGAAGCGAATTATAATGACGAGGCATTTGATTTAAATCATATCAAAGACATCGAGATGAAATACTACATTGAGTAAGCACTTATAAGCCAAATAAAATAAAAACATCTGCTCTTAAGATAAGGATAGTGCTGGATATCAACTTCCAATTCATTGCACGCCGCCCGGTGTTTAGATAAACAAACGTTAAACTTTAGATAAACAAAGGATATGCCTTTATTCCATTTTTTTTGCAGCAATTCTACGCTTTTTGTTTAATGGACTCCGAAAGATTACTTTCGCTTTGTAGATCCTTTACATTTACATATTAGCAAATATTTGACATATCAATCGGAAATTCTATTGCAAAAAATAATAACCGATCCAATCGAAGATTCAAGCAATACGGCAATCTGAACAAATCTGCAACAAAATAGATAAACCTGAAATTTAATTAGCTTTAAGCTTATCCCGTCCGTTATACAATTAAACGCGCATTCGTAAACGTATTTTGCGACGCGCACACGCAAATTCGCACACGGTAAAGGTCTACGCGCATGCGTGAAAGCGACGCATGCGCAGAAAGTTTGTAGCTTTGAGGTCCGGATTATGGGTGTCCGAATTAACGACTTTTGACTGTATATTCTTGTAACGGACTTGGTGATGTTCGGTTGATATGTGTAAATGCTAAATAAAATTATGGTTGTTAATTAAAAAGATATTTGCTACGGAGTTTGTTTCCATTCGTTCTGTAGTTAAACTAAGAATCTTAAGTGATTTTAAATACTTATTCTGTGAAAATTCTTTTTGGGTGTATCATTTGTAACAAAATTGTAAATATAACACTGTTACTAATAAATCACAAAAGAATATCATTGAATGCCGTTTAAGAGCAAAAATGGACCTCTAATTATTCTAATTTATTTAAATTTATTAACCAACTCCTCAAAGCAAGTTAAAAAGGACATCAAAAATCTAAAACGTTTGATGCTGGGTATCTCGGTCTATTTCAGTTTTTGTCATATAGGTGTCAATTTTTTTCATTGTCTTTTATAATGAGTTAAAAAGTTTCCTAAATATGTATGTGAAAGCCGACAAGTTTGATTTCCTAGATTTTACAATATTGATTTTTTTAAAACATTGATTAAAAAATTTTAATACATGAATATTTGCATCATTTAAATAACTTTTGTAATTGGATATGTATGTCTTCATTAAAGGGATACAAAAAATAGATTTTTGGAGTCATGGTGTGATTATATATATAATGTATATACATTTTTCTGAAACTTAGATTTTAACACATTAATAAAAATTAAAAAGAATTAAATTATATTTCTGCTTTTGAATAATAATTTAGTGTAAATATTATTAAAAATAGTGTAATATGTAAATATTATTAATAATTAGTGTAAATATATATAAAAAAATTTAGTGTAGAATTTACATACTTTTTTTTTTTTTTAAGAAACCTTGAGTTTGAAATCTGTATTAACTTTACTATTTTCTCATCTGTAATTGTATTACAAGCTATTTATTCTGTTTATTAGGAGAATCCAACATCTTTATACAACTCTGTGAGCAGTCAAGGAAGTATCAGTGATTTCACTTTGTACTCTTCACCTTCTTTGCCAAATATATCATTAGGCAGACCACCTGTTCCGACTTCTACTGGGGTAACATTCTCATTATTGCCTCTGCATATGTTTTTGTGGCTATCTGAATTTAATATTGTTTTTAATAGCTTTTTCTTTATTAATGCTTTTTTTAACAGGAAATAGGGAAAAATGCTGCACCAGCTGGTTCTGATGTGCAAGGACGAGACATAACTGCTATGCGACTAAGTATGCCCTTGTCTACAAATGTCCTTCATTCCCTAGCATATTATCCTGCTTTACCAGGTATGATTTAGAACTTTATGTGAAAGTTTTTCATTTGTAAATGTATTGTTATGAAATGTCCAGACGCTGTAGGATAGCTTTCCACAACACAGGTTTAGAATTGCCAGAAAATGGCAACGGAAGGCAGGGTTGTCATATTTGCCGAGAAATCGCCCATTTAGCAACAAAATTGGCGATATACCTTAGATGGATGGAGAACCTTTTGGATCGAATTCTTACTGGTTTGGCCCATAATGTTTTTGAATGCAAGCCGAAACTGTATAAACCCTCCTGGTACACAGAGAGTAAGTGTTTAGTGCCTAGTCGAGTCAGTTAATAGTCAGTGAGCGAGTGACTCATAGTCTAGCACCGAGATGATTGTCGAGTGTATTGAGAGAGTCTGTTAGTGTATCGTGCATTTTCATCTTAGAGTGTCTTGAGCTCCGAGAACGACCGAATCGAGTTGGAAGCTGTACTCTAGTGTATCGCTAGTTGTAGTGTGGAGAGTCTCGAGAGTACATAGAGTTTTGAGAATGACCAAGCAGAGTCGGGAGCTGTACTCTGGTGCTTTGTCATGAAGCTGTCTTCACCGTTATAGCCTGAAGGCTGTGTCGCTAATTCTTTCATCATATTTATAGTGGTTCTTTGATGACTGTAAACATGATTTTGAAGCTTTCCTGAGTAATACTGGCAAATAAATTGTATTTCGATACTTCTTCTTGTCACCAACTGATTTCCAATCCAATTTACGTATAAGAAAGAAAAGAGTAATATTCATAAGCAAATAAAATCTTGTCCGGACTTGACTCCATTCCTTTATCCCTCATGACGCTGTCTTTTTATATACCCAAAACCTATAAAGGATTATGATTATAAGGAAAATTTACAAACTTAAATGTATGTTACGTTATTAAATTCTTTCTGTTTTGTTTCTTGCTTCACTTTTTTGTGCTAATACTGCTCTTTACTCTATTCTTGTAAGTACCCGTTTTGTATTGCGTTGTTTCATGTTTGCTATTTTGAATGCTTGCACACTGGCTTTATCTCTACATGGAGTACTTAAAAAGTAAAATTTGTATCTTCTGATCCGGACTGTCTCATTCCTATATTCTGCTTTCAAGAACCGCTTTAAGAAAAACGTATAAAAATTAAAATCTTGATGTTTTAGTAAATTTTTCTAAAGACCGGGGTTTTGACTTTACAATTTTTGGATATTTTGACCATCTGTAATTTTATGTTGCTGGCATGCAATTTGATAAAATCGGTGCTTTGAAAGAAATATTGATAGTAAAAGCTATTATGATTTTAAATTTCTTGTCATGTAAAAGTTTAAGATTGCTTCTTTTGTTACTTTTGCTTCTCTTTTTTCTTGCTTAGGTTCCTAAATGTTCATTTGGGCAAAAGAATTTTGGGTATGACGGTTATGAACCCCTGCCTGGTTTTTAAGAATTGCATCGAACTTCATCTTAAGAAAAACCTCGAAATTGCACAAATGGCACTGTGCACACCCTTGACTTGCATCTATTTTCACTGATTACTCCAATCTTTTCTACTCCCAAATACTAAGTTAAAAGAAAATTGACTTAAAATCAATAAAAGGTGTGAAATTGACAAAACAATCCTTGTTAAAAGAATAATTTAGTAAAACAAAACAACAATGCAACGTAAAAACAACTGGGCGTTAAATGAAAAAGCATCATTATTCCCGAAAAATGATTTAAGAAAAACAAAAAGAAGAAAAAATTGCTTGATATGCACATTTAAAAAATGTTCCATGAAGAACCAAGATAAAAAAACGAGAAACAGCTTTAGCGATAATCCGTGCGAAATAGCGATTATATATATCCATTCAGGCGTCATGTTTAGCCAATTTTAAATAAATTATAATTGTGATATGAAAAAATGTTATTAAAAAATTTATTAGTCCAAGTTTTCAGGTTAAATTAAAATCAATCTTAAAAATAGTTATTTAATATAATGAAACTTTCAAACTGTCTTTTGAAACGTCAAATTAATTTTAAATAGTAGCACATGGAGGGGGTTGCCGCAATTATTTTTGGCAGCACTGGCATGAACAATAGTTTGGTGATTTTTTACGTTCCTCAAAACTGAATAGTACCATAATTTTTTGTTCAGTCCCACCATTCAAGCCCTGCAATTGCTGTATCGAGAATACTGACTAACTTGTCAATCAAAATTTTTTCGTTTTCAATAACCTCTCTGTCACTTTCTTCGCTATTGGAAGCGGTACATCATAACATGCTTTTGCTTTCTAGATCCTTTGGCAGCTCGAGAATCGGAAATTCTTTTTGACATTATCGAAAGTTCAAGCTTACTTTTTATAAAATTTTTCTAACAGTCTGCAAAATATAATAAGCCGGATCCAGTTAGAAGATTAAGGAACAACGCACTCTGCAACATTAACTGAAATAGATAATTAGATAATTTTAGCCTAGCTTATACCGTCCGTTATACATTAAACGCGCATGCATAAATGTATTATGCACATATGCATTTACGCATGCACAGACAGTTTGTAGCTTTGAGGTCCGGATTATAGATCGTTCCGGATTATGGACATTCAGATTAAGACTTTGTACTGTATTATAGCCATTTGCATTGGTTCATCAAAAAAAAGGTCCTAACATGCATAATTGTATTCATAGGGAATCTCAAGCGAACTAATAGAAAAACAAAATTGAGCTTTTTTTTTTAAAAATTAAATTACTGTTCCATTGCTGACCCTAAGACTGAAAACTGAAAATATGTATATGCTAGTTTCTTTCATCCCTTTTCCAAAGATTTTTTAGGGCTTAGTTATGATGTCCCTAATGATTATCAACAGAGCTCTCTCAGAATAGTGTTGATTTTTAAATAAATTATATGCAAGTACAGAAGTCACAAAGTATTATATTTAAGTAACATTTATTAGCTTTAATTTTGCAGTAAACTTATGTACTGTTTTTTTTTTAATTAATAGTAAACTTATGTATTGTAGTTTTTGTAATTAATATATATTACTAAAGATCATGTGGACAATTTTGAAGTCATTAAATACATAAAGCAATATTCATTATGGCCACAATGGATGTCCTGTATCAATAGAAACCTCGTTAAAAATGAAATATGTAAGAGAGCTCGGCGAGAGCAAAAACGCATAATGATGCTAATATAAAAATATGTGGCAAGGTATAAGAACATGCAGCTAGTGCTAATATATGATCACGTGATGAGGTACAAGAACACGCAGCCAGACTTTGGCGAGATATCTTGGTTGATTGGTGATTCAATCTCGGGGGGCTGCTGTAACAAAGAAATACCACAGATCTTATAGCTGGATAAAAATGGCTTTTTTGCTCAGAAAATCAATACTTAAAATCTGTTAAAATATAGTTTATATCAAATTGTTGTTATGGTTTTTTCATGTTTACAAAATAGAGTGATATCATTGTTTAACCATAAGTATTATAGAAACCTTGTAAGAATATTTCTCTTTGTTTTATTTTTGATTGAAGTGAAACCTTAGGAAATTTTGATTCTGTTATCTTTTTATCCACTTTCAACAGCTTGAAAATTGAAATGTATGAATACAATTTAACCTTCTTTTTAGTGATTGATGCGGATTTCACACCTCCAACAAGTCCAGGATATATTCAACCAGCTAAGATACTGGATGGTAGCACAGGTCTTTCTTCAGGAATGCTCAGAGTGTATCCTGCAACCATAACAGATGCCCAGGTGGCTCAAGCACGATTACACAGGTAAAATTCAATTTAACAAATCAGTTTAGTAGCATAATAAAGTTTGCATTCAATAAAATTGATTTTGTGCTACATATGCATTTCTTTCATTTCTGTTGTGTTAAATTACAGTATGAATGATTTTTTCAAACACTGAGAGGACCATTAGTACATTTTATTTCCAACATCTAATTTTTCCAGTGATGTATTTAATTTTCTACATTAAAATAAGGATAAAAATGTTTTTGCTGTGTTTCATATATTGTGATTTCTCAGATATGTTTTTAAAATTACGATTTTAACATACATATCACCGGTTGTTTCTAAATGAATGTTGGGGTTTTAACGCTTTGTAGTATTTATTACATAAAACTTAATATCATAATTAATACATGAAATAAAAGAGCATCTGAAACATTTCTCTTTGTTGGTATGCGCATGAGCCAGAAATGAGTCCATTATAATACGATTGCGCATACAATAGTAGAAAAAATGGCAACTAGTGAACAGGAACCTTTTTGCGTTCTGCAATTTGCAGAGACCGAATCTGTAGTTACTGTGCAACGTACATTCTGGATTAAGTTCAGATGTGATCCCCCAAGTGGTAATAACATTCGTAGATGGTATCATCAGTTTGAAAATACCGGCTGCCTTTGCAAAGGGAAGAGTATGGGACAACCAAGGGTTATTGAAGAGAGTGTTGAGCTCATAAAGGATCGTGTGAGTTAGTTCATAAAAGATCGTGTGTGTGTGTGTGTGCCTCCACTACCAGCTGGCTTACCCGACCTAAGAAACAGGATTGAGGCAGCTGTTGCAACAATTATACCACAAACACTAATCAACGTTTGGGAAGAACTGGGCTATTGACTTGATGTATGCCATCTGAAGAAAGGTGCTCACGTTGAACACTTGTAAGCTTGTAGGTATAACTGTCTGAGTTGGTCTTACATTTCATGTATTAATTACAATTTTAAGTTTTACGTAATAAATACTTCAACGCGCTAAAAACCCAGTATTCATTTAGAAACACCCTGTAAATTAATAACATAATTTTTGCATTATTATTAATAAATAGACCAACAAATTAACAAGAAATTAAATCTATAGCCATAGCCCAGCTAAATGGCAATAACATAGCAAACAGTATTTTTTTCATGCATATATTCTGCTTTAAGTGAGATGATGAGAATATTACCTAATTAGAAAGGAAGACCTTCAAGATCTGTTATGTAAATCAAAACATTATCGTGCACATTTAATTAAATATATATAATCGTAATTCAAAAAGTCTGTACATATTGTAATGGTAGACATTCATTACCCAAACTAACCTTCTTTATTAATGATTATATGTCTCAATTATATTCTTAATTGCTCTGGAAGATTTAGTTGTAGCATTAACTAATTATAGGGAAGCACATTATGTTCCAGTTTCTTGCATATGAAGCGTATGGAGGTCTGATATTCAACATGTATCTGTTGCTGACTGTAAAGATTTAAAAAAAAAAGGTGAATCAGAGGCCGATGATAATTAAGTAGAGGGTTTATTAAATGATGGAATTTCACACACATGGAACAGCACGTTTCTACATATCAAACCATGACCAAGGACGACTACAACTGTTGCCAGATCAACCTAAGCAAAAGTATAAAACAGTTATGCTTAAAATACATGACATTAAAATAAGAACGGGGAGTATGTGTGATTATTCTCAACACCCTCCCTTAATCACATATTATTTTACATTTATCTCTTAAATAACATAATCTTGGTTTAGGCAAGCATTTTGTAAACAAATCAGCTAACTGATTTTCACTAGAAACATATACAAGATTTATATCATACAATTTTACAATATCCCTAATATACTTTAATTTAATATCCAAATGTTTTAGTCTAGCACAATTACTTTCATTTCAATATTGCTTTAATTACAGACTGATTATCCTCATAAACTGAAACTTTAATATTGTCGACTCCTAAAATTTCTTTAGATACATTATAAAATACAGTTAGGTCTTGAATAGCTTTTGCTAAAGCCAAAATTTCTGCCTCAGTAGAGGACAGAGCAATAGATGTTTGCTTTTTAACAGACCAAGTTACAGGACAATCATTAAAGAAAATAATATACCCTGAAATAGATTTTCTATCATTTGTATCTGACCCCCAATCAGCATCAACATAAACATTTAACATAATATCAACACTATTAGATTTACAAAATAATAATTTCAGTTCAGATGTCCCTTTTAAATATCGAAGAATTTGCTTCAGACCAGCCCAAGCACTGTTAGTGGGTTGTTCTTGTATCTGACTCAGACAGTTCACAGAAAACAGAATATCAGGACGAGTTGTCATAGATAGGTACAGCAAAGCACCTACAAGTTCACGATAAGGGCCATGAAATCTTTCACCATTCACAAAATTTGATGAAGTTGACTTAGGCACTAGAGGAGTATCAGATGGCTTACAATCTAACATTCTAAATCTATTTAACAATTTTTCAACATAAGATTTTTGGCCTAAAGTAAGTTTGTTCTGTGAATATTCAAAACTTATTCCAAGAAATTCATTTGCAACTTCAGCCTTGGACATCTCAAATTCATTTCTAAGTAATTCAATCACAATTCTTACCTCTGAATCATTAGAACCAGCAATTAGCAAGTCATCCACATACAGCACAATAAATATTTCACTCTGTTTAGTTCTTCTTACAAAAGTACATGCTTCACAGTTAAGTTGTTGGAAGTTTAACAGAATTATAAAATCAGTAAATCTCTTGAACCACTGCCTCGGTGCTTGCTTAAGTCCATAAAGACTCTTAAGAAGCTTGCACACACGACCACTGTTGTCACTGTAGCCCATTGGTTGTTCCATGTAGATTGTTTCTTGGAGATCACCATTCAGAAATGCAGTCTTTACATCTAATGCATAGATTTCAAGATTCTTTTGAACAATGATAGCCAGCACAAGTCGAAGTGATGATGTACTAATTACAGGAGCATAGGTCTCAAAGTAATCAATGCCTGGCTTCTGTTCAAAGCCACGAGCAACCAATCTAGCTTTGTAAACATTGTTTCGTTTGATGCGCAACACCCATTTACAGGATATTGGCTTTTCATCCTTTGGCAAGTTGACTAACTCCCATACTTTATTTTTATTAAGAGAAGCTATTTCCTCATCCATGGCTTTCCTCCATAGGACTTGCTCTTCTGTTGGCAATGATGTTATATCCTCATATGTTACTGTATCAAGAGTTGCCACATTAGCTTCATACACAAAGTAATCATTCAACTTTACAGGTAATTTTTTATTTCTTTGCCTAGTAATTTCTTCATGACTTTCTTCAAGATTTCTGGATTCTACATCACTTGAATCATATACTACTTCATCTTTAGCAGGATCTTTACTTTCTATGGAAAAATCATCTTGAACTGAGATACATTTCTTTTTCTCTTCATTGAACAATACATTTCGAGAAACCACAACATGATTTGTGACTGGGTCCAGTAAACGATAACCCATGGTAGAGTATCCAATAAAAATCATCTTTTTTGATTTTGGATCCAATTTCTTTCTTAAGTTATCAGGAACTCTCATGTATGCATCAGATCCAAACACCTTAATAATATTCAAATCAGGCGGCTTCCCATATTTGAGCTCATAAGGTACATTTTCAACAGTCTGATTTGGAATTCTATTCTTAAGATATGCAGCTGTCTGTACAGCATAACCCCAGAAGGATTTAGAAAGCTTTGCTTCACATATTAGAGCTCGGGCCTTCTCTAAAAGATATCTGTTGGCTCTCTCAGCCACACCATTTAAAGGAGGTGAATATGGAGGAGCAGGATCTATCATAACACCATTTTTCTTGCAATAACGAGCTAGTTCACCAGACACGTATTCCTTGGCATTATCACACCGAATTTTGTAGACATCAGGATTCTGCTTTAGGAACAATTTAAACACTTCATTTATGTCACTCTTGTGCTTTAAGAGATGCACTTCAGTAAATCTAGAAAAATCGTCTATGATTGTAGCAAAATACTTTTCACCTTCCCTAGTGGGTGGATCAATGGGACCACATATGTCAGTGTGTACCATTCTCATCGGCACATGCTCTCTGCTTCTAGGACCTTTGTTCATAGGAGTGTTGGAATGTTTTGCTAATATGCACTCTTCACAAAAGCTTGAAGGTGACTCAGATACTGGCAAACCCATTTCTTTTAATATTTTATCAGATGAGTGCCCCATGCGCCTGTGCCATAATTCTGCACTATGATTTGCAATGTATATGTTGAAGCTTTAACAGGTTCAAATTGACTCACATACTGTCCTTTCTCATTGAGTTTAGCAAACTCAAATTTTTCATTCCTCTTTTCAATAACAGCTACATCATTCTTAAAAATTACACTGTAACCTGCTTTTTGAATATTCTTCACAGATATTAATTGACCGTTCAACTCAGGCACATATAACACATCTTTAAGTAATATTTCTCTTCCATTTAATGTTCCAGGTACTGTACCAATACCTTCTACCTTTAAAACATCATTTTTCGAAGCACATGCAACAGTTCCAGAAAAAAAAAGGTTTAATTTCTTCAAACCACTCACCTTTATTACACATGTGTGTAGATGCTCCAGAATCCAGAATGAAATTTCCAACAGGCTCACCAACCATGAATGTTACTGCAGCCGATTCTCTATAATCTGATTTATGCTTAAATCTGCAATCCTTCCTGTAATGCCCTGGGCGTCCACATCCAAAACAAACTAATTTTTTCTTGCAAAGCTTGGCAATATGACCTTTACTTTTACATTTGTGGCAGATGATATCACGCTTATCAGCGCTAAAAGCTACGTTATTACTTGAGCCAGAAATACGAGAATCGTAAGAATTTCTCTCACCTTGCAATTCTTCAGCATTCAAGAGCCTTTGCATAACAAAGTCCAGCGTAAGCATTTCATTTGGCTGGTTCTCAATCGTCGATTTAATAATGTCGTACTCAGAAGGTAGCGACATCAACAAATAAATAATCACATCCATATCTTTGACTTCAGCACCCGAGCCGTTCATTTACGATCGCCAACAGTTCTTTAATATGTGACTGCATACTGCAATCTCGGCGTTTCTTCAGTGTCGATAATTTCTTTCGTACTAATATTTGACTAACTGCACTCACCTTATGGTATTTATTCTTTAAACTGCTCCAAATTTCACATGCAGAAGATTCACTCGACATGGTCGCCAATATGGCATCATCTAGAAGGGTTAGCAGCAATGCGTAAGCCTTTTTTGCATCTTTGATTTCAGCAACTTTCGTTTCATCCGCTTCAACGTCTAAATATTTATCAAGTTCTTTGGCTGCAAACACAGCTTCAACACGGCGCTTAAACAGAGAAAAGTTTTTACCGTTAAACGGCTCAACACAATACTTTGTGTTCTCATCACGTGCTGCCATTTCAAATTTCACTTAACGCGCGATTCCGTTCCAAACAAATAAGTTCCACAAAACAAATATAAATGCTTCGCCTCTAGCGTGTTCAATATCAGAACCACGCTCTGCTGTAAAGATTTAAAAAAAAAGGTGAATCAGAGGCCGATGATAATTGGTTTATTAAATGATGGAATTTCACGCATATGGAACAGCACGTTTCTACATATCAAACCATGACCAAGGACGACTACAACTGTTGCCAGATCAACCTAAGGAAAAGTATAAAACAGTTACGGTTAAAATACATGACATTAAAACAAGAACGGGGAGTATGTGTGATTATTCTCAACACTGACTTCATTGTATCTCTTTATTTTCATTTAAAGCCTCAACATTATGGAAGCTTTGTGTTATTATAAATGACAAAGGCAAAAAAAATAGCAAGTTCCATGCCATTATCTAACTCTAAAAGGGGACATATGCAAGCATACATTCATCAATGAAAAGATGTCTACTTAGGGGTACCATATTTTAGGACAAGAATCCAGGAAAATGTGTTCTATATTGATACTGATAAAATGTATGCATAATGATGCACAGTTTTATTGATGCATTTTCGTTGATTCTATAATCTTAAGAATTCTCAACTAAAAAATAAAATAAAATTTATTGATGTAGTTATTTTTCTTCAGCTATCCCCCAAAAATTTTCTGCAGGTGCTGATGTCGAAGATACTTCTTGATAAATTAACTTCAGTGATTAGAAAGCTTACTACATGTACATTATAAAAGACAGATGAGAAGAAAGATATTATAAAAGAGTCTGTATGACAGGTGAAAGTTGGAATAAAGAAATAAAAGAAAATTTTACAGTACCCAAAACAAAATATTTAGGACATTGTGAAGTAGATATACATTTGTGACATATGGCTTATGTTTTGCAGCATTTCTATTCTGTAGTTGTAGATAGTTGAGACTCTTGTTATAGTTCCACTCTTGCATATTTATGATTGGTTAATATTTTCCTTTTTGTTAATACAAATATCACAATAGTGGATATTTGGAATGTGATTTCAGCATTAAATATTCTTTTAGTACTGAGACATACAATTGACTTCTTTTTGAAGATCAACTTTTGTTTATAATTTAAATAATTCTTTTCACTAGCCTATGTATTTAGCAGAAAAACTGATTAATTAGACATACCATCATGTTTTATTAATTCCCAGAAAAAAACTCAGTTATGAATCCTGGGCTTGTCCATTTGGGCTGATCTCAGATGCCTGGTAACCCTTAGCTTTAGTAATCCTTAATTCTCATTAAAGTTTGTGAACAAAAGATAGTTTGATATATCCTGTAATTGTATGTATAGAATTTTTCTCTCTCTTTTTTTGTATGTGCTTATTTATGTATTTTTAAATATTTTTATCCATTATTTTTAATTTTTTATAATGCGATGTCATTATTTTTCTTTTCTATGACTAACTTTTCTCACATGCTAATTTGTTTATGTTTTTTGTACTTTCTAATCTTAATAGTGATCATCTGTATTTAAATAAACATGTATAGACTGTTTTTTGAAGTTATATATTTTTCATCTTCATTTAGAACTATACAGAGACCTTTAGGTAGGACACAATCAGCTCCATTACCTCTGGGTCATCCAATGCTACAACCTCAGGCTATTCTTTTGTCACCTCAACAAAATGAACAGTATGCAAGAGAGAAAAGGCTTTGTGAACAGCAGCAACATAATCTGTTAAAACAGGTATTTCAGAAGAAATGTGAATATTTAATTCTTTATTACAGTACAAAGTCTTTAATCTGGAATGATCTATAATACGGACCTCAAAGCTACAAACTTTCTGCGCATGTGCATTTAATGTATAGGCTAAATTAGGCTAAAATTATCTAATTATCTATTTCAGTTAATGTTGCAGATTGCATTGTTCCTTAATCTTCTAATTGGATCTGGCTTAATATTTTTTGCAGACGGTTAGAGCAATTTTATAAAAAGTAAGCTTGAACTTTTGACTATGTCAAAAAGAGTTTCCGATTCTGGAACTGCCAAAGGATCTACAAAGCGAAAGCAGCATGTTTCAATGTACCGCTTCCGGTAGTGAAGAAAGTGACAGAGAGGTTATTGAAAATGAAAAATTTTGATTGACGAGTTAGTCGGTATTCTCGACACAGCAATTACAGGACTTGAACAGTGGAACTGAACAAGAAATTATGTCTGTTTATAGAATTAAAAAAAAGTATTAGCACAAAAAACGAAGTAACTTAAACAACTTACACTGAAATGTTTAAGAAAGTAAACAAATATTAAGCCTTTTTTTTCGTAAATTTTGATACCCTTTAGATCATAATTGCTCTTTATTTCATAAATTACGGTTTCATATTTTTAATTTTATAATTTCTGCATGCCATCTTACCAGATTTAAATTGATGATCTATAATCCAGAAAAACCCTAATCCGGAATCGCCGAAGTCTTGACGAGTCCGGATTAAAAACTTTGTACTGTATGTGATTTTAAAATATTTTGAAAGAAATGAACTATAGTTTTTTTTTTTTTTTTTAACTATAGCCATATGGCTAAAACTAAGTTATGATGAATTAATTTTACAGAAATCAAACTTGAATAAAATTAATATGAATTAATATAGCTTTATCTGAAAAATCTTTTAATTCATTCCTCAATATGCAAAACCAGTCATAGTTATGAAAACTTTTAATACCAAAGAATTATTGTTAAAATGTTCTTATGATTAAAAAAAAAGGTATAAAGTGTTAGATTTACAAAAAACGAACTTGAATTAAAGGAAAATAAATTTGAATAGCCTTAGTAGAATAATTTGTTAATATAGGTGTGAAAAACCAGTTTGAAATCTTTTAAGTACTGACTCACCGGCGGCCGTGCAGTAAAATTGCTGAAGGGTAGTAGTTTGGTCTGAGGTTCAAATCCTGGTGAATTGGCTGACTGCATGGCACATTCATGGTTTCCCCCCTGTGTAACATGCATACGAGCCAGTTTCCCTTAGAAAGCCATCCACGAAGGCATCCCTCCCCTTAGAAAGATAGCCCTTCTGCGCTTTGCTGTGATTAAATAAAGCAAGCCAAGCCTTTTAAGTACTGTGAAATTCTGACTGAAATTTTCTCAACAGTGATCTTTTAAATGAAGTTAATGATTGTTTTGTGCTATAAAAGAAGAGGCTGAAAATTGGCCTGCCATATTTTCTTCTTTTTTTTTCTCTCTGGCAATCCTACTGGTGCATATACAGGGTGAATAAGACTATGTAAATATTTAGGTAATTGCATTTTAGTGAACACATAGCAAGACAGTACAGAAATGCATAAAATCATTGTCCACCTTTTTCTTAGTTTCAAAAATTTAATTTTATAAATATTTGATCAGTTATATCCATTATAAAAACCTTTTTACTTAATAATGTTTAATAACAGCATTTTTGAATGCCGCGGAAAACTGCCCCGTAACTGTTTTTTTAGCTGCCTCTTAACTGCCGCGGAAAATGTACAAGATTCACTCCCCAGTGCCACCGTTTTATTACACTGGCGTGCGAAGTTATGTGATGTATTAGGGGGAAAATAAGTGCAAGTTTTGTTGTCTAAAAACTGTTTACTTTCAAAAAATAAAGAGAAAATGAAAATACCAAATTTAATGTTTAGAGTAAAAGTATAATAAAAATTATGTTTGTATAATAAAAAAGATAATCAAAAAAATTCCCCAAAATGGAGTTTTTTAAACCAGTAAAATGTAATATCAGGTTTCAGTGTTACACCGTGTAAAATCAGTATACCTAAATGGAAAATGTGGGGGGTGGCGTAAGCAAGTTTTTCATATCAAGTCGTACCCAGCATCGAGCATCTTTCAGAGAAAAGTTGCAATCCTCTTCATCTGACGTAATATCATATTCTGAGGTATCCGATCCTGAAAATGACGAAAAGTAATCATCTATTTCACTGTCATACATATTCGTAAAAAAACGAAAACGTACTATAAATAGTAAACAAAAATGGAAGACATGCAATAAAAAAACTGTGTTTTACTCAAACAGAAACAACCAGTAACTGGGCAGTCATTACTTTCAGTGTTTTAGAAACATCTCCCTCTCCAAGTCTCCCCCCCCCACCCTCTTCTGAAATAGTACCCTCCTTTGCATACTCTGTCAAGGTCATTGTGGTGTTCCATTCCAAAGCTTTGGGAATAATTTTACTGGTAGCAGCACAAAGCAAATGATAGCATTTTAAGGGCATATATATTCACTCGGGGCAGTTAATGCATTGGCTGAGTAAGCTGTATATATATGCCCGTGGCAGTTAGGGGATTAAAGCTTTAGATTTTTTTTTACATTCATACAATGTAGAGTTTTATTCTACATTTCTTTTCCATTTTTCTGAGCTTTGTAAGTGAATCGAATGGTAAGCTGTTACTTTTGTCACTTTAGAGTTAAATGACAGTTAAGACCTGAAACCTTATAATTGCTATTATGGATTTTTCTAGAGTCGTGAATATACAGATATGTATTCAGTGTAAGTTGCAGCTTTAAAAGTTGCTGTCCAACAAATGTATAAAATATTCTTGAAAATCTACTTTGAAAACTTATAATTTTTTATTATGAGTCTTCCTGAATTCGTGGATGGGTATAAAAGACTACCAAATGTAAGTGTCAGATTTAAAAGGTGCATTCTGGCGGTGCATCAGATTTCCTTAAAAAACTGCATCACATATCCATGCTTTTTTTTTTTTTTTTTTTTGTCCATACATCTAGCTGATTTCCTAGCAATGCTTAGTGTTGACAGCTGACACGTGTAGCAATTCTTATGAATTTTTGTTTTCTTGCATACTGCTGTCTGGTGCATATAATTGAAATTAAAAAATTGCATAATTAAATTCTTAAAAAAATTACAATCTGATGTTCTTATTGAGATTTCAGATTAACACCTGAAAACACTTTAAACATTAGTTGTGGCAAATATTCTTTTATTAAATACATTCAAAAACTTGTGTTATTTTAATGTTGTAATTATTCAATAATAATTTAATCTCGCAGTCCTTAGTAAAGTATGTTAATAAGATGTTTCTGTCTTTAGAATGTAGTCATTGAAATGTATAATAAAGAAATACTAGTGATCTCTAGTCTTTTATAAATACTAGGTCTTAATAATCAAGAACAAACACAGTAGCAGATTTACAATTTAAAGAATTAATCCTCAAATTTTCATGGTAAAATTTCATAAAATCGTATATTTACAATGAGTTGTTAAAAATAGCTCTACCAAACAGTATTAGATAACTTATGATACTATTCCTGTCATAATGAATGCCACATGGAAAATTTTGCATACATTTAAACCGTGAGCATGCACACTGGGTCCGGTGGACGCACACAATTAAACAAACCTATCTCAAAGCATGGCTATTTCATGCAAGTTGTTGAGGTCCAGTGTAGTCGTGTCTTAGGTCGACCTCTTTATGTTTCCAAAGTTTTTTTCACTGAGGCTTTGATTCGGAGTCTTGATTTTGATCGCATTTTTGAGCCCATGTATTACTATCGCATAGTTGATTTGTGATAGTATAGAAAGTGGCAAACATGTCACGTAACTTATCTTACAACAAAAGAAATTTGCAAAAGTTATTAGATGTATCAACTGGAGAAGTGACAAAGAATGTATTGAATACTACAGTGAGTATGAACTTGTAGTTTACATGCTAGTGACTCAGACAGTGATGTAGATTCTGAAAATGAGAGTGAGGATGACATAAATTGTTTTATTGGAAAAAATTACCGCAAACAAAAAAAGGGAAGTCAGTGTTTGCCCAGTGGAAAAGCACATAAAAACGAACACATGCTTTTCAGAATGTGAAAAATATTTGTATTTGGAACACCTGAAAACACTTTCTTCAAAGTGCTGCTAACATTTGGTGTTGCATTTGTTTTCTGTGTCTATAATGCTAATAAAGAAAATGAGAATCGATTCAGAGTAAAGGTATACTACTTTCTTTTTCCTATGCTTAAAATATAATGCTATTTTCTATTCCTGTGACTAATTTTATTTCATAAAAGTATTTGGAGAAATTAAAAATTTTAATGTGCATAATTTTTAAATTTCATCAGAAAATTTATTATTAGCATCGATGTAAAATTTTTTCTGAAGATTTACAATATTTTCATCAAAAAACACGAATCAGGTTATTTGGACTCGGTGTGTGCGCTCGTGTAACTCATATGAGCATGCGTGCTCCCGGGTTAATAAAGGAGAAAATCATTGTTACCATATATGAGAGGTAATAATATAGCAATGTATGTTCCTTATTAACACTTGTACAAGAAAAATAATAAAAGAAAAGAAGAATAAAAATAACATGAGAACTTCTAGCTGATCTTGAAAGTAATTGACAAGTATTAAAGTTTGTAGCAATGTGCCGTGAATTATTATTTTGATAATATTTGTGAAGAGACCAGAACTTGTTTGTTTTCATTCAGTTTAGAAATATGTATATATTTTCTTTTTCTTCAGCATATTCGACAGACAGTTCTGACAAGAGCAAGCAGTAAAAACCAAGTAGAAAATGTAGAGGAAGAAACTGAAGCAGCAATGGCACAGGAAATGAAAGATGCTGGACAGCCTGAAGTGATAGATTTGACTGAAGGCAGATCAAAAGAATTTGAAACACCCCAACAGCAACGGGACCGTGAAATGTTCCTTCAACAGCACAGAGAATATATGTCAAAACACACGTTACAAATAAGTGATAGTATGTTTTAACAAAAGTTATTTTTAATTGGTATAGTTTTAATTCAAGATAATACAAGTGCTTTGTGGTGTAAAATCTGCGAAAATCTTCTAACACTTTTTTATGTATTTTAATTTCATGATTATATTTTATTGTGAATTTAGGTTCGTATATGACAAGGCATCATATGGGAAGACCTTTGTCTAGAACATTGTCCAGCCCTCTTGTTGCGTTGAGTCCAATTGGCAGTCCTCAAGAAACTCAAGTTCCTAGTCCACATACCTTTACAACAGGTAATCTTTTCTGTCAAAGTAAATAATAATCTTCTAAACTATGACACTCCAAAGAAGTAATAAATTCCCCACTTGAGGAATATACATTTTTATCTCCAGTGCATGAGACTGTGTGTCCGAGATTCTAAAGATATGTTGTTTTGCTGTTTTTTGGGTTTTCTCTTTAATTTTTCTGTTTTTCTTTATTACAAACTACTGTTGTTTCATTATAATCCAGATGTACTATTAAGAGTAAAATTTTAATTTTTATGACTTCTATTGATGAGCTGAAATAATTAATACACATTTCAGTTTAAATCTTGCATTAATTTTTAAAAAGAAATGGAAAGTCTTCACCTTTAGATATTTTTTATTTTACTTTTTAATTCAGTAGCATTCATCTGTCATCACTTATATCTGCATGATATTTCTTCCAAAAGTAAAAGTCTCATTTTATTTTCTTGTTATTTCAGGTGTAGTATATGATAGTTTAATGTTAAAACACCAGTGTGTATGTGGGAACAATGGTCATCATCCTGAACATGGAGGTAGACTGCAAAGTATATGGGCCAGATTACAAGAAACAGGGCTTCTTAATAGATGTGAGGTAAAAATAATGCTCATTATATTGATATATATATATTTGGTAACATTACCAATGTTGCAATCTTCTCTCAAGACCTGCATTAATAAAAGTCACCAGTATTGGTGTATTTTATTTGTGTCGTGACTGTTCTATGCCTGGTAATTTTCCCTTCTGCATAAAACATTTTTCTTTGTTTAAATAATAGTTATCTCTCTTTTGCTTTTGCATTTTTAGCTTTTGTACATGAATTGCTGAATAATCTGCTGTGTTTTTCTTGATGCATTTTCGTTAACATAATGAAGAAATTTTATTTATTTCAGTCGTGTGTTTGTAGATTTTATATAAAAAAAACTAAGTTTAAATTTTGTTTTGCTAAATGAACTGTTTAAAACAATGTATATTTTTAATATTAAAGAGAGCATATTGTTGGAAGATAATTTTTTATATTATCACCACTTGTCCACGAAGAATGCTAAAATTTTCTGGTTGCAGAATTTCACATATATCTTAATAATAATGTTTCTTATGCTGAATATTGGCTTAAGACAAATAATTTAATATTATTACAATAACTGAAAAAATATTAGGCATAAACTACATTATTACTATTATCTTATTTGTTACACATGGAATAATAAATAAATTGATACACTGAAAACTTTTTGGTCAAAATCATAGTACATAAGAATTTTCTTGCATCTTTTACTTTCTGATTTAAATCTTGAAATAGCTTCAAATTAAAAAATCTGATAAATTTACGAAGTCATATTATATCAATTGAATGTTGTAGAATTTTTAATCAAACCATCTTTTTTATTATAGAGAGTGAGGTCTAGAAAAGCTACTCTTGAAGAAATACAATCTTGTCACAGGTATTTGAAAATATATCTGTAATATATTATTATTTGTGCTTTTGTTTTTCGATGTTTATAGCTTATGGCTGTGCAATTTGAATATTCTACAAGGGTTATTTTTTGAGTAAGTCTGTTTTGCAGTAAAAATGAAACAAGCATTAAATTTCTGTGTTCTAATTTTTCTTGAACAGTATCATCAATTTTTGCATTTGTCACTCCTTGCATTGTCATGTATACTTCACATGTACAGTGATAAATATCCTATTCAAAGCTTAACAGCATTTCTTGCTGTTCAGAACTTGGTAACTCAGTCAGATTGCTCTTTTCTAAAACATTAAAATGTCACATTACAAAGCATGCAAACTGACATCTTAAATACAAGTGCTGTTGGATTCTGCACAAAGGATCCTAGCAACATGTGTGTACATTTCCTTCTGAAACACACTCGAAATTTCAGATGATATTCAGGAATTGGCCTTACTTAAAAAATAAAGCCTGCTCGTAGCATGCTCGTGTCACAAGTAAAATAGATTTTTTTGTGTACAAATAAATTTAGAATATGAAGTGTAGTTTTTTTTCATAAAGCTAAATATCATTTTATATGGGGAAAAAAAAAAGAATTGTACATCTTCTACTTTTACGTAATTAGAACAAATTCTTTCTTCAGAGAGCTGAAACACATCAGATTTTTGACAACTGTTTGTTTTTCTTTTAATTAGTGAATCATACACCTTACTGTTTGGAGCCAATCCCTTGAATAGACCAAAACTTGATGCTAGTAAACTAGGTAAATTTTTTTGTTTTATTATCATACTTTGCCTTTTTTTTTTCAACATTAAAACGTAAGGTTGTAATTAAAAAAAGTAAATTAGTAGGTCAGATTTTTTTCCTGTGCTTTTAATTTTTGTTTTAAATTTAGCTGATCTTCCCATGAAGAATTTTGTAATTCTCCCATGTGGAGGAATAGGAGTTGATTCAGATACAACTTGGAATGATCTGCATACGGCTAGTGCTGCGAGAATGGCTGCTGGTTGTGTGATAGAGCTTGCAATGAAAGTTGCTACAGGGGAAATTAAGGTAAAACTGGAATTTTGTAGCATCTAATAATGCCTAGAATTTCAGTTTTTATTTAGAGAATGAATATTACTTTTATTCATGTTTATAAATCTTAATAGCTTATTTAAAGAAATGGCACTGAAAAATTGGTATGTCATAAAATATTTTTTAAATCTGCCAGTTTTATGGTTTGCCAGTCACTGGAAATAAAAGATTTGTTATACTTGACTTGTAGTGTATGCAGTACACTAAAAAAATGCAGTACATATATTTAATTTAATTAAGAAGCTTTAATTTCTAAGTGAATAGTCATTAATAGGTTTTTATTTATTTATTTATTCATTTATGTAGAATGGATTTGCCGTTGTCCGACCTCCTGGCCATCATGCTGAGCATCAACAGGCTATGTAAGTTTATAAAGCAATCATACATTTCATGCTAATTAATGAAATAAAATTAATTTTTTGATTGACTAATTTAAGTTTTAAATCTGCATTGATGTCTAAAATGCAAATACTAATGGTTACATAATATTGACTTTTGCATGAATTTTTTAATAATTTGTGTCATTCCTTTCTTTAAAAAAATGAGAATAAATTTCTTTGTATACTTTTTGAAAATTTCTGTTTTTTTTTTTATTCTTTTAGGGGATTTTGTTTCTTTAACTCTGTTGCCATTGCTGCAAAACAGCTTAGAGAAAAACTAAAACTGGAAAAAATCCTAATTCTTGACTGGGTAATTAGGACAATTTCTGTTTACTTATTTTGTGTATTTGTAACATTTTCCATAATGGAGAAAGTTCTATTTTTTAATTGATTTAAGTTTGTAATTTTTTAAAGTATTTTCGAATTTTAACTTTATTATACATATGATTTCAAACTGTAGGATGTCCATCATGGTAATGGACTTCAACAGATATTCTATGATGACCCTCATGTGCTGTATATATCATTGCATCGCCACGATGATGGCAATTTTTTCCCAGGGACAGGTGCAACTGAAGAGGTAATTACTAAAAACTAATGTACATATTTAAATTCATCATCTACATTTATATTATCTTATTGTTAAAAAAATTAAGTAACATAGTAGATTATTTTCTACACTGTTTTTTTTAATAAGGAAGCCATTTTTTGCAAAGAATTCTACTGTGCTGTCATTTGTTTGAGTATAGGTCTATTTAATTTCTGCTCATGATATATTTTAGTAAATATTAAACATAAATCTTGAAGCAAAATATAACAAAACTTGTTTAAATGTAAATAATTAAAAATGCCATTAATCGTTTAGATAACTGAAAAACGTTTAAATTAAGTACTTATTTTTTTAACATTTTCTCAAAGAATATTAATATATGTCATTTATTTGTGACAGAAAATTAATAGCTGATACAGTAAATTATTATTAGCTGCACTACTACTATATTTGTGTGTATTAGTTTTGTATGCAGGTTTAAACTTAAATATTGTGTATGGTTCTGAAAATTTATCTTTTCATGAAAAGGTTGGTACAGATGATGGTATTGGATTTAATGTGAATATTGCATGGTCTGGCAGCTTGAATCCTCCTTTGGGTGATGCTGAATATATGGCAGCTTTTAGGTATTTATTTTTTTTATACCTATTACATTGCAGTTGCTGTGTGATTGAGATATATGAAACTATATTTCTTACTTGTTACTGCAGTCTATTACAGCATAGTTTTCTAACTTTCTGTCGCTTAGTGACCCTTTTCGAGGTTTATTTTGCTTAGTGACCCTACCCTTGCAACGAAGATATATTAGATGCCTTTTGAATGTAATCTGTCAGCATAGACTCAAAATGCATAAAGAGTTTTAGATATTTCATATTTTTGCATATGAAATATCTAAAAATTAATTATCTTATTAAAATTCATTATCTTATTAAAATCATTAAGCAAAATGAACGAAAAATAGTAATGTTTAAAGATTTCTAAAAACATTTATTGTACTGAACTGCAACACAAGCTTAGATTCCTGTAATAGTGAGTGTAAGTGATGTAGTGAATGAACATGGATATGGTGGATATTATAACATGGCATGTGCAGATATTTGATAATGTTTTTAGAATATTTAACTGTTAGTCAAGTATCTTGAAATAATAAAATTCCTTTAAATAGAAAAATGTACTAAATTATGTGAAGGGTGTTGTTGCAATAAAATTCCTTGAAATAAAAAATAATAAAATAAATAAAAAATAAAATAATAAATTGAATATTAATAAATTGAAAATAATAAAATTCCTTGAAATAGAAGAATGGAACATGTGACTAAATTATGTGTAGGCTGAGCTAACGTATTAGGTTATTGCAAATGGAATGGCCATTGAATGACATTCATATAACTGCTGGTTGTGGAAGAAAGCAAATGCTAAGGTTAATGTAAATTTTTCATGTCATATGACAGTGTCTCACATAGGTGATGTAATGTTAGTATTTTTTCAATCATCAAGCACTAAACATTAATTATGACTTACATCCAGGCAGTCATGGAGTTCAGTCATAGAATTTTTTATAAATTTTCAAATTCAAACAAGGAAATTTTGCAGTGATTGCAGTAGAAATAAAATAAAATATTCAGTAGAAGAACAATTACTTGCCTTTGGTTTGCAAAATTTTGTTCATGTGATTCAAGGCCCAAATGATCCCCAACGCCATGACCATCATCCTTACTTCTTTAATTCTAATGAGTTAAAAAAATATAATAGAATCAGATCCTTAACACACTATGAGAGAGATCAGGTAGCTCAAACCGCATGTAGCTGAATACGTGATCTGAAAACAGCTCAGCCTGAATTCCAGTTACACATTGCAGTGAGCGCAAATGAAACAGCTTGCATAATAAATTTACGTCTGGTAGATATCAAACATATTTGAGAAAGAATTGCTTAATCTTGCAACTGTTGAAGGGTTAAACAATTTAAATATTTGAAATAAATTAAAAATTTTGCGTGTGGCTTATTTATGAAAACATATAAACAACAATAATAATAATGCAAAGTATAAAATTCAAATTTATAATGCATTTTCTAATTTAAAATCTAAAGTCTAACCTATAAAACACTTTTGTTGGTAACGCTCTGTAATTCCAATCTTATAGCTAAACAGCAAATTTTTAGACTGGAAGTTTTTTCAACTAATTCTAACATGTTTAATTAATTATTAAATAATTTAATTTAAACTGAAAATAAACAAATTATGAAACTTTACTGAGAAAAAACTTGAGAATTAATAAGGACAACCTTGTCAATTCCTCTTATTTGTTATTTTTTTTCCTGAAGTATAAATAAAACTACATATGTTTGTATGTAAATAATTATAAACTTCTTTATTTCTTACTATAACGTGGCACTTAATGGCATTTTAATTCTGATAAAGTTTGTAGGCTTGGAGAGAAATTTTTAGATTTCTCATCATCATGGATTGTAGATGCTTATCAGTCAGTTAGGTTCTTTTGCTATTGATTTCCAACTGTGAAAAAAAATGCTGTTCACATTAAAAATATGTTCCCAAACAAAGTGATTATTCTTTGTGTAAAAATTTGCAACTGAACCTTTTATTTTTTGAAACATACGAGTAAAAGTTAATAAAACCTGTATCTTCAAACCATTAAATAAGATTTATATCACATTTTCAGTTAATTAGCTCCATTTGTGAATTTTCTAGAGCATTATTCATGTTTGTTTTTAATGGAAATGAAATTTGTTTATATTATATAAAGAATTAACTAAAATCTTGAAATCTTTGCAATACATACCCAATTGAAATATCTTCATGGGCTGCATAAAACTGCTTCAGAGACCACATGCAGGCTGCCAGTTTGAGGCCACTGTCTTGGATAGTAAATATATATTTTTCAACTGTTTTGTGGCACTTTGCAGTAATAAGAAAAGAAGGGAAGCTCAGCAATTGAATTTCGCATGTACTCGCTATTGCTGATGAAGGCAAAGCATTTGGAAGTATGCTGTGTCAAAGTATTTGCAATTCAGTCTAAAGAAGAAACGTTTTTGCTAGAAATTGTGACTGTGGATAAGGAATGAATGTTCAGCAACAATACTGCACATTTATCACATTTATTGGGAGTGAAAGACAATTTAAGGAGGGTCCAAAATGTCACCTTTGCATCTGAAAAAGATATCCTTTACTGTGTTATGGTTTTCTGCTGGTGTTATTAGCTACTTATTCCTTCCATAAGGTGAAATGATAAATGCAGCTGAATACTGTGCAGATATGGAGCAAAGCCTGACTTTTGTGTGTGTGTGTGTGTTAACTAATCAACACTTGTGAATAGACATGGAGTTGTATTGCATCAGAGTAGTGCGCAACTACGTACGACTATGTCAACCGTACAGCTAATCAGCAATTTGGGATATGATATTGTGTCCCATCCACCATGCTTTCATTACTTTTTCTCAGCAAATTACAATTGTTTTTGGTATTTAAGCCATTCTACACATAAGCCATTACAGATGTGATATAAGTGACCTTGTTGGGTATTGGAAACACATTACTTGACCTATTTTTGTCTAAGAAATGCCTTGACAACAACACATAAATTTGTTGGGAAGCGTAAAGCTTCATCACTTCCAGAGACACAGACTTTTACAAATGTGCTGTAAATGACCATTGACAACGAGATATTGATTCCAATTGAGATAATCTTAATTAAACAAATATTCTTCATTCTTTTTTTTTTAATCGTCCTTAAAGTCGGCCATTTCATTTGCAACAACCCAATTATTTGACATAATTCTTGTAAAGATGCAAGACTGCAATATTTGTTTAATGAAAAGTTTTAAATGGTATCAAAAATGTTTAAGTTGCTAATTTTTAACTGTTTGCTTTTCAGTTCTGTATTGTCTTTTGGAACATTAATATTTCCTTATGTCACCTCTGTGCCTTCTGGTGGGTGATAACACCCACATTGAGAAACTGTATGTTTGAAGGGGGGACGAATAGTTAAATCCTAAACAGCAAAAAACTCTTCATGCATACATTTGCTTTTATGTATATTTTTATTTGTTAGGGAATCATAATATTATTATTATTTGTTTTAGATCTATTGTTTTACCCATAATACGAGACTTTGATCCTGAAGTAATCCTTGTAGCAGCAGGATTTGATGCAGCTTGTGGTCATCCTGCTCCTTTAGGTGGCTATCGGATTTCTCCTGCATGTGAGTATTTATATTTTAATTTGTTCTGCATTGAAAACTATCTTTGCTTCTATTCATTTAGTTGAAATATTTTTTAAGTTTTTCATATAGTTATTTATAAAGTCATTCTTAGGTCTTGCATTTCTTTTAAAAAATAGTAATGATTGTATTTATATGCATGGATTTTGTTGAGGTTGTAGAGACATTAGGTTATTTTTTTTAAAGCAGGAGATGTGTAAAATGAGCGAAGCATAATGAGTTTTGATGAAATGTTTGCTGCAGGCAGTTTAAAAAATAATTTTCTATTTTTCTGCTCTACAGCCCTCTGTTTATATGACTATGATAGTTCAGAGGGAAATGCTCTGCTAGCACTGAAATTCTTATCATTTGTAAGTTTCAGTTTATTTTCTGAATTCCTTCATGGCATTGCAATTCACATTGCAAATTACAAAGAAAAGTTTTTCTTTACATTTGATAAATAACGATCTTTACACTTGATAATGATAAATCTTTTTTACTATTAGTTAATATATTTATCTTGATCTTTAAATGAAGAATTATTGTACTTTTCTCTGGCAAGCAGTATCTTCTCATATATTCAATTTTTGCTTCAGTTGTTTCATTGGACACAATTAAAAATTTTATGCAACTTGTATGAACAGAGTTACCAAATACATTACAGAATAAGAATAGAAATCTGTAATGTTTTGATTGCCGAATGAATTGTACACTTTTCAGCTGTCTTGAAATTTTTAAACCTAGGCTAGTTTGATTAAAGTTGAAGAGAAAAATTGTTTTAATAACCCCATTGCTTTTTACACAACAACAGTTTAGTTAAAAACTAAGATGTGTATTGATGTTTTGTATCTTGCATCGTTTAAATAAAAATAATTCGATTTTTAGGTTTTGGATTTATGACACAACAGCTGATGCATTTCGCCAAAGGAAAAGTAATTTTAGCTTTGGAAGGAGGGTATGTAGAATGTGCAGTGTTTATATTTTTTAGTACCTGTTTTATGACTTTCATAATTAGTAGACATTTTTCTTTAAAAATGAAAAGTCAATTGTACAAGTTTTTAGGTCTGTTTTTAAAAGCAGTGCAGTTCTGAAATACTTCCTGTATTTTTCTTTTTTCAAACAATAATAGAGACAGTTATCATATTCTTTCGAAAAGCATAGAGCTTTTCTTTTCAAAAAATGAACACCTTTGAAAGTTAACATGCTTTTCTTCTAACTTTGATGTTTTAAATTTTCATTAAATTCAGTTATTCATAAATACTTCAAATAATGCATATTTTTGGAATGAGGACTTGCACTATTTTGCAATATAAATTATTAAATGTTCATTTTGGTTTGAGGTTATAAATGAATGTTCATATCATCTTACTTTTTAGGTATATTTTTAATAATGCAATTTTACTTTCAGTTGTGCTCTTATTAGCTTGGTATTTATATTAATTGAACCAAATCTCAACATTATTTTATATAAATAATGTAATAAACCTCTTGGTTTGTAGTTTCATAATCATTGGGCAATTCTAACAAGGTGAACTTCCAGAGATGGTTCCAAAGAATGCATCCTAATAGGAATTTGCCAAATATCTCTGTAAAGTAAATGGATTCAGTTGCCTCTCCTATTAAGTTTAGCATTTCCTGTTTACTATTGTTTAATCATTTTTGTAATTTTGTTTGATGTGTGAATATGGCAACCAATTTTTTTTTGGAGGGGGGAGGGGAATGTTGTGATAGGAAAATTCCCATTTGAAGTAAGCAGCAGTTGTTACTGAAATATTGAATTTTTTTTTTTTTTTATTGTTAAGACGTGCTGATCATTTGATCATCATACTAAACTCTACATGTAAATATTCGCATTAATCTGTGTGGATGTGTTTGTAAAGTGAAATAAATTGGGCATTAAGTGAAATTGGATTTTTGAGTCGAAACAGATTCAGTCAGCTGCATAGCATAGGTTTCTGCCACCCAGGGCAAATGCTAAATTTATCCCCCTTTAAAAGTATGATATTTATTATAAATATAAAATTTTCTAGAGTTTCTTCATGGGGTTAAAAGAGTTGCCAGTTGCCAATGTTAATAATGCATGCGATGCTGTCATGACAGTGGCAGAACTATTTTGTATACCATTTTTTGTTCCATACCTCTAGCACTGTCATTGAACATAAATCAGAAACTAGTACTCCACCTATATGACACACAATATAGCTAGGGCAGGAAAAGGGGAGAAGTAATCACCAACAATATGTGAGATTGATATTAAAGTTATTATAGTGCCATTAAAAGCTTACAAACACTTGGCAGCTATGGATGTGTGTAAGAAACTGGATACTTGCATCCCAAACAGCAGTAGATATGGTATCTAGAAAATGTATTTTTTTAATTAGTGCTCTTTTCATGCATTAGATCCTTATGGTTAATGAGGATTGTTATTTTATAAGAACTGAAGATAGAGCAAAGTAGCGTCAGACAGTAGATGGAGCACACCCTTTATTGAAACGGCAACTGCCAAAACTGCATTATATTCAGACCCAACACAGGATGTTTGTATCTCTATGGTGAACTGAAATCGAGTCAGTGGCTAGGCGGCAATTAGTAGCCAACCGCTACTTTAACCGTCTCTGTTGGTAAATTGCCCTAAGGCGTTGGTACTTAAGTTTTTAATTAAGGCGATTTACGCCGCGCCAACTAGGCGAAACTTGTCAAATTTTGTGAAATGTAGGTGGAGTGGAGGGAGATGATTGGCCGGAGCCTGTCACGGGGGTGGTCACCCACCCAAGTTCAGACTCCGAGCAAAGCAGCTTACGCGTGCAATGAGAAATATTGGATATTAATAATTATCAAGTTTTGAAACAGGTTATCCAGATTGGAATAATTAAACTAATATCGCGATCTAAATGAAGACAAATGGCACAACTAAGTGCAACAGATTAGCTAAACAAAATATTCAAATTCATCCTTGCTGTAAAACACAGATTGGACAGTGGTAGTCACGTGGGGTCACCCTCCCGTGAACTGTCCACAGCCAATGCATCTTGAAATAGTAGATATCACAATTCAGTGAAGTCTTGGTCTGAGAAATTAAACACTAAAGTTCTTGTACAACACTGAGGCACATGAGTTACTGAAACTATACACTATGTACATATAGGGACGGCGGTATTTGAGCGAAGTAGCAAATGGTGAAAAACATTTTACACTAGCAATAAATAATCAGAGCTTTGAAGATCCAGGTACACGGATCATGTCCATAAGTCCACAATATTACAAAGTCTCTGATATAACAATAAGAAGATTACGAAAATGACAAATATAAGATCAGTGCTTTGAAGATCCAGGTACACGGATCATGTCCATAAGTCTATAAAGTTTCAAAGACACTGGTAAAATGACACAATGAAGATAAAATAAAGATAATAGTACTATGTACAATATATACACATTTCACCATTTGCTGTTATGGAAGATGCCTCTTGGGCGCTTTGCTGCAATTTCTATAGTAGGATCATAATTTATCAGATCACGGATATGTTCGTATTGAGAAAGTTCTATTTTAGCATAGAAATTGTGGCTCGTGGTGAGAATTTGATCAGCAGCTATGGGTCTTATTTTTAGTTCTTTATGTATCTGCAGGTTACGTACGAACCATGGGGAGTCAACAATTTGTCTGAGTATTTTGTTTCTGAAAGACCTGTAGTTTGTGTCTATAAGTCTTGTACACAGTGGCCCAGATAGGCACTGCATAAAGTAGGGTGGGTCTTATTAAGCTGGTATAGATCTTCTTCTTGAGACTGATATTTAATTTAGCATTTCTTCTTATTAAAGGGTAAAGAGACATTTTAGCAGCGGTGGCTTTGCGCAAGGCATACTCCGTGTGTTCTTTGAATAACAGCTGTGAGTCGAAGACCACTCCTAGATACTTGGTACTTGAAACAATTGCTAGGGCTTGATCATTAATTTTTATATTTACATTCACAGGAGTGAACTTCCGATGACGTCTGAAAAGGAGAATTTGGCTCTTTGACGGATTTACTTTTAATTTCCATGAATCATAATAGTGTGCTATGATATTTATATTTACTGCGCTTTCAAGTTTATCTACAGCGAGCTGAGGTTTTAGCGACTTGGTTAAAATTGCTGTGTCGTCGGCATATTTCACTACTTTTGCATTCAAAGGAACCGGCATATCATTCGTGTAGATATTAAACAGAAGCGGTCCCAGAACGCTTCCTTGAGCCACTCCGCTTTTAATTCTTTTTCTTGAAGAGAGAGAGTCATTAATTTTTACCTGAAAGGTCCTGTTTTTAAGATAGCTTTTCATGAGCTTAATAAAACTGATGGGCAGATGAACAAGGTGCAGCTTGTAGAGGAGACCCTCATGCCACACCTTGTCAAATGCTTTTTCTAGGTCTAGAAAGCAGCTGGCGATTGTGTTTCTTTTTTGCGAAGGAGTCTGCAATAAATTCTGTAACGTTCAGTAGTTGGTGCACGGTACTATGACCGGCTCTAAAACCAAACTGCTCTTTACATATAATTTTCCTTATCCTCTAGATGTTGAGTTAATCTCTTTTGGAGCACACGCTCAAATACCTTTCCCAAACTGGGGAGAAGGCTGATCGGACGGTAGGAGAGTTTAAGTCCTTTGGGTTTTTCCCCGGCTTGACAAACGTAATTATCTGCGCGTGCTTCCACTGTTGCGGAAAGTAATTGAGCCTCATACAAGCATTGACTATGTTTGTAATGAGGACTATGTAGGTTCTTGGGAGAGCTTTGAGAACCGTATTGGTGATGCTATCGTAGCCGGGAGCTTTCCCTGGACTTTAAGTTGCTAATTATATTACTTATTTCTGCTGGAGAAGTTGGGTTGAAGTGATTATTACAATTTCTGTCAGCTAGGTGGTTAATGAAATTATCGACTTCTTCATCTGTCTCATCATTATTAGAGGCATGATTGGTGAAAGTCTTTTCTAGATGCTGCGCAAGGGCTTCAGCCATGTCATGTTCAGAATAAGCAATTCCACTACTGGTGTGGAGAGGACCAATATTTCTGTTATTAGTATTCCTTAAGGAATTTCCAATACGCCAGACTGTATTCGGAGAGAAATCCATGGAGTCTAAGAAATCGTCCCAACAATTTGATCTGTACTCTAGGAGGAGGGTCTTGATGTTCCTAATTTTTCTGTTCAGATTTCTTTTAACAGTGGGATCGCCTGTTCTTCGCCAGATTTTTGCTGTGCGGTTTTTGTCTTTTATTTTCTCAATGATGTGGTCGGGGAGCTTGTCTTTCTTATAATCTTTGAATTTGGTGGAATCATCAAGGGCTTTCTTAATTTTACTATTGATCTTAGTGATATTGTACTCAATGTCTACAATATCGGCAAGAGCCGGGTGTGCAGGTAATTGTTCTAGAGAATTATTGAATTTCTGCCAGTTTATAATTTTCTTTAAAGGCAAGGTCTTCTCAAAGCCATGGTAAGTAAATTTAACAGGGAGATGGTCAGAGGTTAATTGATTAATCACCTGTAGGAAAGGGATTTGCTGGATATTTTTTGTAATAACAATGTCGAGAACATCCGAGCTGCCTGTATGATGATACCTGGTAGGTTCCGTTGGTCCAAAAATTCTAAGGTCATTCGTAAGAGCATAGCTATAAAGTTTGTTGCCATTTGTGTTATTTCTTTGAGAATTCCAGCTATGATGTTTAGAATTCAGGTCCCCTGCTATAATAACAGGGTGAGTGATATTGTTAAAAATTTGCAAGTCATTGTTGGTGAGAATGTTTCTGGGGGATTATAAGCCGAGATGATGACAATCGGCTCATTTGTGCGCGAATGCACAACGATCGCAGTGGTTTCAATGCTGCTGCTATTGGGAATATTAAACTCGTTGGCGTGCAGATGCCTTTTAATTAATATCATAGTACCGCCGCCCCTGTTATGGTCTCTGTCCGTCCTGAATGCG